GATCGGAGAACAACAAGATCTGCAATTTCAACTTTAAAAACTATTTATTTATCTATTATAAGAAAGTCAACAATACCTAACATGATTATATTTTGTTAGTGATCAAACTTTCCTGCAAGATTTAAATGTACAAACAGTTTGCAATAAACAGGCAGATACTGAAGTCCCTCACAAAAAACAAGAATAATCTTCCTTCTATTTAAACTTTAGATATTTTTATGACAACACACAATGATGTCCTACTTTTAGGTTTGCTCCATCAAACGGTAGAGATCCACTGACTAGTGTATACAGGATCACTCCAAGGCTCCACACGTCTACTTCTGGACCATCATATTTCTTCCCTACGCCACAGCAACATTCCATCATCACATACTGGCTTTTCTACCATTTAAACTAACATGTGTAAACCATTTACTTTCACTTTTCTTTAAATCCTGATCTCACTGATAAAACCACATTTCATGGTTATGAAAAAAAAAGTAAAATTCCACTAATTCAGAAATGTCAAAAATTGCACACACATTTTTCTAACTTTTTTGTCATATATTTTAAATAATCGTTGATCATTTTGTATTTTAAAATTGTCCTATCTCGTTAGTTTTTCATTCACTTATTTTGTATCAAAGTTAAAAAAAAACAAAAATCTTGTGTGTGTGTGTGGGTGGGTGTGTATTTATAATATATTTGAAATGACTTGTGAAAAAAATAGTAAACTTGCTGTAGAAGGATTCCTTACTTAAATCTGTAATCTTTTTAACAATACAATTTTATACCAAGTTAAAATCATCCAAGAATATTTTTAAAAACTCTCATTGTTTGAGGCACAAAAGTATTTTATAATATTAATAAGGTTTCTATAAAGTTAATCCTAAACATCCAAGGTGCTTCTTGTCATATACATTCCATTTTAATACATGTTATACCTTTCACAAAAACTAAGCCGCACTATATTTGTGGATCCATTAATACTTCTATTTTAGAAAATATCATGACAAAATGATTATTATCATTTACTGTGTTGATCTTTTACATTCTCGAAAATTTTGTACAGAGCTATAGAAATGGCTACATGTGAATAGTCATTGCTAATTTGGAGCTGACAAGACTAAAGGCAGCAGCTACCACCAACTTTTGTCTGGACAAATAGTGAGATCGCTATTATAGTACATTCACAGCCTTTTTTTACATGAACATTTCTAATACACTAACCACTATTAACAGCCTCGACCCTTCAACATTCTCACAATGCAAAATTTAATCACTTTTTGTTTGGAATATACATAGACAAACAAAGTAATGGGAAACTGTAAAGTAACAGAAACTGGGAGAAAATAATAAAGATGCAGGCCACAAAATTTATACATCTCCACTGCAGAGATACATTGGTTATGGAAAAATTACTGAAATAATTAAAAACATATTTAACACTTTTAGTGAATTACATTAAACATTGAATTAAACTACTTTCTTATAATAATAAGTTTTGCATACAAACAGAGATAATAATCAAAATTTTAATATTATATATGTTTTAAGTTATTAATTTTATACAGCAATATTTTTTAAAAATCCTAAATTTCCCCTAGTATGAGAATTGTGACATTTTCTCTCAAGGCTCTAATTTTTTTACCACCCCTTCAAAAAGTATAAATTTGACATAACTTATTTATTATAATGTTGTCATAACTCCGACAATGCAAACTTTTTATAGCCTTACAATATTATCTGGTTGCAGAGCCATCAAACAAAATAATATTTATTTTGCAAGCCCACCTGTCACATCCTCTCTTTCAGAAATTGCCAATATTTTTCTCTGTCATTCAGTACTATATTATTTATAACCAATAGAAAGACAAGGTTTTAATCTATCAAATGACATATTATATTACTTTGTTTTACAGGGAATTCTCAATCATGCTTTCAGTTCAATCTCTATTCCCACAGAAAAATACTGATGAGCTTAGCTGAATTTTTAACAGCTGTTGTTGCATAGTTAAAAAGCCAGAAAAATTGTAATAGTTATGGAACATTGTCTGCTTTTTGCATGTGATCATTCTGTGTTCTTTGATTCATTATTTAATTAAATAAAAAAGTATTTAGTGCAGTAGTACCACAAGTATAAACAAATGAGTCATCGAAAGTCAAAGGCATAACAAGAGAAGACCCATGTAAGTACTTTATTTGTGTTTTTCATTTGTTGTCAGATATATGACTTTTTTAGTGAAGGTACTATTAACCCTCTCTCCCGGGCTTTAGTGCACATTACACAAGGATTTAGTGTCTTAGATTCAAAATTTTATTAAACTACTTTATGTTTATGTTATACCAATTAGAATAGCATAAAATCTTAGCTAATAATCCATATTTGTGACACACGTGACACATTTTGTCTTAGCATGTCATCATCCCTATTTTATCCATCACCCCTCAAAATGTACAAAATTA